ATAAATAAAAATTATTTAAAAATTAAAATATTATATATATAATATCTAATAATATATTGATATTAATAAAGGTATATTCATATATATTTGATGTTTCAAATATATTTAACGAGAAAATACAAAGAAATTAGAACAATCAAGTAGCAATTTATATTATTTAATAAATATTAACAAGTTTAGAATTAAAATTATGAATTTAATTGAAAAATAACATCAAATTTTAGGACAATATTTATAAAGTATCAAATATTTGAGGTATATCAATAAGTTTTAACAATTTAAGGGGTCAAAACATAATATTATAAAGTTTGAATTTTTTTATAAAAAAATTACTGTTGAACCGGAAAAACCGATTTTTTCCCGGTCAAATCCGGTCAAACCTGATTTTTGACCGAATTTTAAATTTCTGGTTTTTTAGTATGACTCGATCCGGCTACCTGACCGGTTCCCGGTTCGACCGGTCGGTCCGGTCCGAGTTTCAAAACAGAGGTTTTGCTTTAGGGGAAAGTTTTGAGATTCAATATATATATTAAATTGATGAACATTTTTTTTTTAAAGATTAGATTGATGAACAGTTGTACTACTATGATATAAGATCTTGTTCTTGAATTAAAATTGGCTTGCAAAAGGAAGTCGAGTGCAATTATGGTAAAAAAAATGAAGGTTTTATGATGTTGTTTATTGTAGTTTTATACGTTAATATGTATGATCTATCGTAATCTATTAACTCTAATATTGTGAGTTAATATGTATGATCTATCGTAAATATCTTGTTCTTGAATTAAAATTGGCTCACAAAAGGAAGTCGAGTGCAATTATGGTAAGAAAAATGATGGTTTTACAATGTTGTTTGTGGCATTTTTGTGCATTAATATATATGATTTATCGTAATCCATTAACTCTAATGCTGTGCTTTAATATGTATGATTTATCGTAGTGTACTAACTCTTATATTCAATGAGCATGAAGAATATAAAAGCACAAAGTGATGAAACGATTGATTTCTGAAAATCTAAATCATGTGAAAACTTGGTATAAAGGTAATAAACGAATGTTGAACTATAAATACTTGCTTGCTAATTGACTTCACCTAATAATGGCATGCAATGTAAGTGCTGATTCCATAAAAACTATTGGCTTTGTAGTTATATAAACAAAAATATTTTGATCATTTTGAATAAAATCTCAAGTACTTTGCTAAGGCTCGAAAATGTGTTGAATAGTATCTAACTTTCTGTACTGTTCAACAATTACGGTAACATTAGACATAGGATGAGCTTAACATGCGGACCTATAACATAATCATTGCGTTCTGTTGCAAATTACAAAATAGATGGAGGATTAATATGTCTAAAAGACATACAAGAATAAAATGATGAATCTAATAAACTGAGACGTGCAGGACTTTTTTCTGTGTCGCATTTCATTTGCTTTCAAGTGAATTTTTAACTCTGATGTATATTATTCTCAGTGTTCAGTGAAATTATGGTGACTAACGAATGCTTTTCATGGTGGACAATTTCATTCTTGTGCAGATCAAAGTGAAAGGTCTTGGCCATTGCAATTCAGAATCAGGTGGCATATATATCAGATGCTTTTTGTAATTTTGGAGCTGAAGTTCGGTTTCTGCTTTTTTGTAAATTTTAGAAGGTAGAATTTTTTGGATTTCACATCTGATATCAAAGATCTTGGTTCAAGAAATTGATCCTAGGGTATCTGAGAATATTGCAGAATTGACCCGACTACAAGGTTAGTTGTGGGTGTTTTGCATTATCAGACTTGAGAGCATATGAAAAAGTCAGTTGATCAAAACCACAAGGTTGTGTCATGGAGTATCTAGTTGGTGAGGATTGGATCATAGAATTGGTCTCAGAATTGTCATATTGATTGGAATTATGAAGACAGAGATCGATCGAAGAAGAATTCTGACTGTCTATTAAATTGTGACGAAGTGAGTTATCAATGAATAACATCAAATTGTGCAACAAAAACAATCTATCTAGGTGCCCGGAATATGGCAATAAGAAAAGTGTTTGATTTTTAGCAATGTCATGTCTCAAAAAAGTTTTCTACCCTTAATTCCAGACTCCTAATTAACATAGACTCTATATACGAAGTAACTTGCTAAATATTTTAATTTTGTACTGATCAATGGGGTAATATCTATTGAGAGTACTATTGCCAAAAATTCATAACTACAAAATGACAAAAATGATCATTAAATTATTTAATTCTTTATTTTTTATCACTGCACTTTTTATTTAGCCAAATAGTCATCCAATTATTTAAACATGCAATTTGGGACCAACAAGTATACATTTTCATTAGTTGAATGATGAAAAAAAAGTAGATTTTTACTAGTGGAGTGACCCGAAATATACTTATTCATTAATTAAGTGACTATTTTATCTAAATAAAAAGTTTAACAACCAAAACATGAAATTTGAAATAGTTTGGTGACGTGCGTGTGCATAGTTGACAACAAATTTTTATTTAACCAAAATAGTCATCCAACTATCTATTCTTGCATGTGCATAATTGACCAAATTTTGGCTATACGTAATCTATACTCACTTCATTTTTTTTTTTTTTTTTTTCAGTGTAGTCTTTTCAAGTTGCAAATTATGTTGTTTTTGTATCGTAATTCCAATAAAGAAAACTGATTTAGTTGCTTCCGAAAATAAAAAAAAAAGGGAAAAAAACCAACAACTCAACCAGCAATAGCCTAAGTTTATAGGATTGATTGACCGATTGAAATAATAACACAATTACATATACTATATGCTTGATTGACCGACTAAAACAAAGATGCTAAATACATGTATATATAATATACAGGTCAATGGGTAGGGTTTGGATCACTTTGATCCAGATCCAAACCCAGACCTAGACTCAAACCCAAAAATAAATCCAAATTCAGACCCTTCTAAATTTGGATATTTAATGGGTATTCGTTGTATTTTCGTAAACACACTAAAATAAAAATGTATTAAAATATATATATTTAAAAAAATATAAACACCATCTAGTTTTTATTTTCAAATAATAAATTTAATATTCAAGAAGTTGAATGCAATATTATGAACTCAAAAAAATAACTGCTATCGACTACTTCTATGTATTTTTAAAACGTTAATTGTATCTACGTCAAATCTTTCATTTATTTGTCTTTACTTTTTCTCCTTTTTTCTAAAAAAATTTGTACTAATTACAATAATAATTGAATGAAAACAATCATGAAGTCTTACTATATTCGATCCAATAACCATAGAATACTAGAATATGTTATAAATTTATTAATATATATATACATACACACACACACACACACACACACACATATATATATATATATATAATTTAATTATATATATATGGATTTAGGTAAGATCTAGTATAGATTTGTATTTGGATATGGATCATAGAAAACCAGACCCTATCCAAATCCATAACTCTTTTATAAGGATGACAATCGGATAAAAAATGAGTTGGCGGATCAGGTCAAGACCCGAGTATAATAAAAGAACGGCTGATTTGCACACGACCTGCCAATCCGCAGCGAGTCAACATGCTTGACCCGAACACGAAATTTTCAGATTGACGGGTCACCTGAATGATTCGATATGAGCCGAAATATAATTTTAATTTACTAATCTACTGCTGTAATTTCTAATAGAACTAATTCCACACAAGACTAATTACATAATCAAATAATAAAGGCTCTAATGAAACAATCCCAAGTTAGATCTAGAGTAAATTAAAACACCACAAGAGTAGAAAATAATGTAATACTTCATCTATCCAAACATAACAACTCCAACTTCACGCAAGCCAAACAAATTCAATTAGAACAATCAAACAAACAACTACTAGCCAAAAACAAATTTAAAGTCAATACATTACAATGCACATGAAACAGATAAAAATACCTGTTTAGACAAATTTTTTTAATTTATTAACTTATTTTTATTTCCTAAACGGGTTAATGGGTCAACTCGTTTCTGACCTGGATTTGACTTGTTTTCTTTTCGGGTTTATTGGGTTCGCCCTGATTCTGATTCGAATCCACGAAACCTAAATCCAAATTTATTAATTTCGTATTCTGTTTTTACGTCGTGTCGAAAATTATTATCCCTCCTCTTCTACAGAGTTTGGGTCTAGGTAGGGTTTAGGTTTGAGAAATAAAATTCAAACCCTATCCAATTACATTGGATCATGGTTGAATTTGGGTAACACCCAATCCATTAACATACCTAATGTATATTGTTCCTATGGGATGTTTAAAACAGAACTGGATTCGGATGCGAGGTCGTCTTAATTTTTTTCCTTTAGTTTTCAAAGTCGTTTACAAAAAGCGTCTGCCTTCCAAATCCTGATCGACGTTGTCTACCAACATCCTCTCTTACAAGTTTTTTCTTTTTCAAGAATTAGTGGTTCGATAAAGTACCCTTTTGCGTTTCTCAATCCCAATTTTCCTCGGTTTTGCTGAAACCAACAATGGAGAAGACGGCAAAGAAGGCACAGGCAGAAGGCAGCGAAGATGATGGCATATCAAAATTACCAGAAGATATTATGCAATACATACTTTCAAATTTCCTAACACCAAAAGAAGCAGCCCAAACAAGGCTATTGTCCAAGGCATGGTGGAGTGCGTGGCATACATCCCCAGTTGTGTGTTTTTGCGAACCAAACTTCGGTAAGAGCTCCAATCCTGAATTTTGCAGAGCCATGTTCTTGAATTTTGTGAATAAGGTCTTGCTGAATTATCGTGAGCATAACCATAGGATACAAACTTTCAAGCTTCAGATGATATTTAACACCGAGTCCGCTCAACTTGTTGATGAATGGATGAAGATTGCTATTGAGAAAGGATTGAGAAAACTTGAGCTCAGAACTTATGAGAAGTCATATATTTTACCTAGTATAACCCTTGAATCTAGATCCCTTGAAGAATTGGTTCTATACAACTGCAAGTTTGAGCAGAAGCAAGTAATAAAACATATAATGTGTCGAAGTCTTAGAAGACTAGATCTTGAAAATGTGTTTTTAGTTGATGAAGTATTGGAGAATATCATCTTAAACTGTAGGTTGATTGAAAATTTGAATATTCATCACTGTGACGGCTTGAGAAACATTACAGTAAAAGACCTCAAAAAACTCAAAGAATTTTCTGTTATCTATGATGGGGAACAGAATGTTCAAGTTTATTCACCAAATTTAGAATCCTTTACTTGTCAGAGAGGTTCATGGTATTGTCAGTCAATCCGAGGGAGGCTTAGGTTGTTCGCTACTCAAAATTTGAAACTCCTAGTATTAAATGGTATTTGCATCACTGACGAGTTTTTCTTGGGCCTTGGAAACGTGTTTCCGCACATTGAAGAATTGAAAGTCAGCAATTCTAATGATACACATAGGATCAAGATATCTAGTCAGTCCCTCAGGAAGATGGAGTTGATTTGTAACGAGAAATTAGAGGAGGTGCAAGTTGATGCACCAAAGATTGTTCAGTTTGTATACGTGGGCAGCAGCATTCCCCGTGTATCTATCACCAGTGCTCCCTTAAGTCATTTGGAATCAAGAATTGGAGTAAATTGCAACAACAACGTGAACAATTCCTGGTTTTTTAAACTAAAGGAGATGTTAACCAACTTGGGACAATCAAAAGTTTTTCTGGGGATATCTATTCGTGCAGATGTAACAGTTAATCTTAATGAGATTAGAGATGGTCCAACCAATCCTACACCTGAAATTGAAGAATTATCTGTAGAAGTTGTTTCGTATTGTGCATCTAAACAGACTACTGCTGCAGCACTGCTAGACGCATGTTTTTGGAGCTTTCGTCCTAAAATCATACTCCAGGAGTGGTGTTTTCGTGGAACTATTTACTTCACACAGTTCCTCCTCGAGCTGCTGATGATTAGCAGAAATCAAGACCATCTGAATTTGTTGGAAACCACGTTTTGGCTGAAAAATCTAAAAGATGTCAAAGTTGTTGTGATGAAGAGGTCTGGGCTAAACGATGAGTGGCAGCCTGAGCTTTCAGACTGGAAGCCCTTACTTTATTCATGTGACGATGGTGGTTTCAACACAGCAGTTCATTTCAATTTAGAATGGTGGTGAAAATATATACAGTTTGGTCTCGATTAGGATTCAGGGTTTTATGTGATTAGTAAGTTTAGATTACGTTTTTCACTTTAGCAATCTAGTCAGTCTATCAGGAAAATACAGTTGATTGATAACGAGAAATTAGAGGAATTGCAAGTTGATGCTCCAAATGTTATTGTGCTTGAATACACAGGCTCGAGCATCCCGCATGTAATTTTTACCCCTCTCTCATGTCCTTGGGAATTTAGAATTAGTCTAAATTGCCATAATGCGATCGACAATCCATGGTTGTTTAGTTTAAATTAAAGGAGATGTTAACAAGCTTGAGGAACTCAAAATTTTTTTTCTGGGGATTACTTGTTTTGCATCTGCAAAAGTTGATCTCGATGAGATTTAAGATGGTCCAATGGATCCTAGACTTGAAATTGAAGAGTTATCTATAAAATTTTCTCAACGGCAAGGACGGAAGGTTTCTGCAGCTTTTCTAGATGGATGGATGCGGTGCTTTTGTCCTCCAATCATACAACAGGAGTGGTGTTTTCTTGGAACTATTCATTTCACACAGTTCCTCCTCGAGTTTCTGATGATCAGAAGAAATCAAGACCATCTGAATTTGCAAGAAACTAAAAAGCTTTGGCTGAAAGATCTGAAAGATGTCAAAGTTGCAATCTTGAAGAAGAGTATATTAGATGATGAGTGGCAGCCTGAGCTTTTGGACTCGAAGACTTTGCTGCATTCACCCGACTCTGGTGATTTCCACACAGCAATTCGCTTTGATTTAGAATGGCGGTGAAAATCTTTGCAGTTGGAACTGGTGCTAATGCAATTCAGGGCTTACCTGACTAGGAGATGTAAACTAATATGTTATACTTTAGCTATCTGCAGTGGGATGAACTTTTTCTTGGAACGAACATTTTCTATGGTATGATCTTTTTTGTTCGGCCTTTTCTGTCTAGATTCTAATTTCCTTAAAGGACATTGAAGATTTCAGGTTTCATGACAGTTATACTGATGGAATGCTGGGATTAGTCAGCCCCGTAAGCTTTACTAAAGGGGAATTCATCTTTGGACAATGGTTATTGACCTTTTGCCTATCCCCTGTTTCACCTCTTCCATCTTAGTCGTAATTGTTTTTATTCTAACATGTTACCTAAATTGCATCTTAGACCATTTTCATTGATTCGCTAATGATTCTACTTTCCTAAAAGATGCAAATTTAATTTCTTGAAAAATTATTTGCTTACTCAAAAGAATTGTAAACATTAGAATAAAAATACCTTGTGGTGTTTCTTCTTTCCAATATCCATTCCTTAGCTGTAATTTTTTTTGGTTAGGAATTTTTTTTGAAAGTCTAATCTTAATCAGGCAATGAATATATCAAAGCAAGCAACAAATATATGCATTAAACACCAGTAACCTTTTTGCATGTTTTTAGGAGCTGTGTACAAAACCATGGGAAAACTCTGGCCAGCTGAAGTTACGAAATTTTGCACTAACAATACCAAAAAAAAAGAAGTCAGACATTGAGGTTGAACAGGTTGATTATTGCAGAGTGATACATAGATTATAGCTATTTAGAGAGTCAGAATTAACTAACAAAATTGATCTAGTATTCATAATTCTCGCTCATAAAACTTAAATACAGAAGCAAAAGACTTGTGAGAAAGACATTTTCAATCTTGTCGACTGTTTGAATGTGCTTATACCATTAACTTCCCAGCAATCAGACCTGAGTTCTGCATTGGGAACTCCACGAACTTTTGACTGTTTAATTATTGGGCAAAAGAAATATATCATCTCCATCTAGATGAACCAAGTTGTTACATTATCAGGGACATTGTCTACCAGCAAGCAAGATATATAATCTCATCCTCAAAAGTGTAGGCATTGCATCAAAAAGAACTTATGGGCATGACATGAACAGTAAGTTCATGCATATATTCAAAGGTAAATTACACTTTACCCCCCGTGATTTAGTATTTTTGTACATAACCGCTCTATGATTTCAAAAACTATACTTAATCCTCTCATCGTTTGAATTAAAGTGTCAAACTAACGGAATTTGCAATCCATAGTAGTCACCTAAAATATCAAAAATACCCCTATATAAAGTTGAAAATGATTTATTAACGACAGGAGGGGTTATGTGTATGTTTTAAAAATTAAAAGAAAGTTATATGATAAAGTATTAAATCATAAGGAGATTATATGGTAAAATATAAAATCATACGGGGTTATTGCGTCATGTATATTATGTTTATATATTTTGATCATTTCAACCATTTTAATTTTTAAACAAGGGTAATTTTTATATTTTTAAAGATCCCGTTACGGATGGTTATTTCCGTCACTTTGATACTTTAATCCAAACTGTGAGGGGGTTACATATAGTTTTTAAAATTATAGGGGGTTATGTAAAAATAAATTAAACCATAAGGGGGTAAAATGTAATTTACCCTATATTCAACTGACATGTATGTATATTCACGTCCGATCAACAAAGCACTATATTCACTAAGCAAAACTTCAGATGTTTTCTCATATGCAATTTGAAGTTGTCCAACCACTTAAGAAAACATGACTAAAGCCCTGACACGAGCAAATCTGAGAGTCGAAAAGACGAGCTTCAACAGCAGCAAACCATGCTCATCTGCATTGACCGTTTCAACACACTTGATTTTGTTGAACAGGTAAACGTATACTGGTGTACAAACGAAAGTAGCAAACTGGTGTTTGTCAAAGAAGTTATCAGGCAAGTTCGAAGAAAGCAGCTTCAATTCTTTAACTTTAGACAATAAACTAGTTACGCTGTTTCTTTTAAGTGGAACCAATCAACCAAACAATAACAATATATATTTTGGAGAGAAAAAAAAAGTGATTGCAACATCGGCCCTGTTTGGAAGCCAAGTTTTTGAGCAAGTTTTTTACCTACTAGTTTTTTAACAACTTTTGCTACAGGATCCCAAAAAACTTCTCAAAAATTTTTACCTACATATTTCAAAATATCCAAAACATACAAAAAACAAAAAATTCCCTTCCTTTTTTTTTTCTTCCTCCTCCATCCCAACCCACCACCACCTCCGTCGCTGACCACCACGTCCGGCGCCATTTCCTTTTTTTTTGCCTTTCAAGCAACTGAGCATAAAGAACTGATTCTAGCAAGGATGATGCCGCTTTATGGGGGATCTCTTTCTCAGGAAGCTTCCGTTTCCTCCTCCGCACAACAGGAGCTAATTCCATGATTTTTAATGGGGAAGCGGTAGCACCTTGTCCGTGTCCACCAAAGGACACAGCACCAGAAGGCCGCGACGGGGGCTTATGAGACGGCGTCCGCCTACTACTGCCCACTGAAGTTACAGGGGTTGATGGACCAGGTGATGATACACCTGTAGCATTGGCAGTTGCAGAATTTTCATGTTGGGCATGAGCCGCCAGGGCATGGCCCAGCCCCTAAGCCTGAATGTGTTCAGATAATTGGAAATTACTAGGGAACTGGGGACCGCCGCCTTGACGTTGCATCTATTGCCTCTCTGGACAGTACAATCAAATGCAGGCAACCAAGGCCCAATTTAACTGCCGGGCAAGGGAAGAGGGAGGAGGAAGGGTAGAGGGGAGGAGAAGGGGAAAGGGAGGAGAGGGGTGGTGGGAAGTGGCATTGGAGGAGGTGTTGGTGGAGGAGCAGGTGGTGGTGCAGGAGGTGGGGCTGGTGGTGGAGTTGGGGGTGGAGCAGGCGGGAGAGTAGGACGGGAGGTGGAGTTGCTGCTGGCTGGTGGTGGAGTTGGGGGTGGAGCAGGCGGGAGAGTAGGACGGGAGGTGGAGTTGCTGCTGAGCGTGCGGAGGTGACGGGGAAGAAGAAGAAGAAGAAGAAAAAGAGAGGAAAGAAAAGAAAAAGGAAAGAAAGAAAAAGAAAAAGAAAGGGAAAGAGAAAAAAAAAAGAAAAGGAAAAATAAAAAATTTTCACCTTACAAAGACTTCTACAAAATTTTTTCAAAAACTTCTACAGTGTACTACAGTAAAATTTTAGACAAACTCCCAAAAAACTCAGGTTCCAAACAGGCCCCTCATCTTGCAATAAACTTTTGGCCCATTCCAACACCCCGTCGTCTGAGAAGCTTTCTTCTCAGTCCATCCATCCATCCATCCATGGCGGAAGGCAGCACAAGCGGATTATCAGAGCTCCCACAACACATTATCCATCACATCCTCTCTTACCTCTCAGCAGAAGAATCAACAAAAACGAGCTTAATATCGAAATCATGGTTAAGCGCGTGTCAAACCAGCCCAAAATTGGAATTCAATCCTCACGTCTACTTCTCCAGGAAACTCAATCCAGCTCGCTTCTGGGATTGGAGCAAAGAAAAGAGAAGGGAGAAATACGAGGAGTTCTTCCAACACGTGAAGAAAGCCCTGAAGCCGTATAGCAAACAGGGGTTACGCATAAACACGGTTAATTTCACGCTTGAAGCGACTCGCGATTCTCAGTGGAATCCACTCCTTGAGAAATGCACAAAAATAGCAGTAAAAAATGGGGTACGGAATCTTGATTTTTTTATCCCGGAATGTGATTTGCCAGCAATTGTATTTAGAGCTAAATCACTTGTTGATTTAAGTGTTAGAGAGGGTAATATTAAGCGAATGTCAGTTGGGGAAATTATATGTCCTGGGCTTAGAAAACTGTGCCTTAAATGGGTGAGTTTGGACGTGGAGATGTTTAATAATATAATTGAAAGCTGCTCTTTTATTGAGGTATTGGAAGTTTGGTATATCCAGGTGTTTGATGATTTTAAGGTGACTAAGTTGAACAACCTTAAGGAACTTACAGTTCGGTTATTCGAAAATCAGTGGGTTAAAGTTGAAGCACCAAAGCTTGAGTTGCTAACTTGCACAGATGATGAGAATTGGTTTGAGGGTGAGGATGGGGATGAGGAAGACAGATTGACTTGTGGGATTAGATTCCCTGCCTCGCACTATCAGAATCTCAAGTCTTTACTGTTTAGTGGGATTGGGATAGATGACACTTTCTTTATGGATTTGGCGTGTAAGTTCCCCAACCTTGAAGATTTAATGGTCAGATATTGCCAAGAGCTAGAAAGTATCAAGATTTCGAGTCAGTCCCTGAAAAGAATAGAGTTGATGGACAATAAAAAATTGGTAGAAGCACAGTTTGAAGTTCCCAAGATTCTAGCCTTCGAATATTCTAATGTATGCGACATCATACCCCGATTTCTTTTTGCGACTGCCTCAAGTTGTTGGACTTCTTCCATTTGTTTATGGTGCAGGGAACATGTAGATGTTTCATGGTTTGTCAAATTGAAAGAATTATTAGCAAGTTTATTTCAGTCTGAAGTTTCACTTGACATTGACTTTATATGCAGCGTAGCCTTTGATCTGAATGAGATTAGGGATATTGTCAAAATTCGTGAACCTCAAGAGGTGCAGAAGTTGACTATACATTTTGACTGGATGTTCTCTTTAGAGAAGGGATTTTCAGCTCTCGATGGTCTTTTCTGGGTTTGTCGCCCTAAATATGTAAACACAGAGTGGCATGATAGCTTAGAGAAGAATGACGCGGTGAAGTTTCTATACGAGACACTGATGTTCAGAAGAACTCAGGATCAGTTTCAGTATTCGTTGCAAAGTAAGTTCTGGCGGCATGATTTGAAGGAAGTAAACATTGAGGTCCTTGATAGATCTATATGCATGATAGGGGATAGAGTCAACTTTACGACAAAGGGGAAAAATGAGCATCAGCAAGAAGATTTGGACTGGGAGAACATTCTGAATTTGTTAAGGAATGATGGAAGCTTTGGAACGATGGTCTACTTCAAGTTACAGTGGTAAGACATGATATGCCCTAGGAAGTTAAAAGATTGAATCTGTAGAAATCGAAGTTGGAATAATGGCAGAAAGTTATGTTATAGTAATATTCTGTTAGTATGGTAATTTACTTGGGGGGCATCAATTTTGAGTTGATCTGGTTATTTCATAGTGCAGCTCGACATGCTTCTTTTGATTCAGGTACTGAGTTTTTACTGGTTCAAAAGGATGGAGAAACTTATAACTAGTGTAATAAACCATTGTGGGTATAAAGTTTTCGCCTATTGCTACATTTATTTGGGAGAGACACCTTCTTTAGAATTTGTTTTACAAAGTGCATGTGCCTTTTGACATATCATGGTTGGTTCATTTAGTTTGTCTTTGAATTCATTCCATTATTTTTTTTACATCACAGGTCGCGTGTCATGGAGAAGGATGGAGGAAATTTCGAGACTTGAAGCTGTTAGAAGAATTTGCAGTAAATCTGTTATTTATAATCATACTTATATTTGGATGTCTAGGAAGTTGAGCAAATGGTATCTAGTATTTGTCTCTTTAACTAGTCCTTGGTAACATTGGATTATAATGATCTGGAGCTTTTGATTCATTTACAAGTCTGTTTAAGTAGCTGGATGTTTGAACCACAATATGTTTGCTTTGATCAATTACTAATGCTGAGATATGAGCTTGCAACCACCGTTTTGATCAAACTGAGACAGGAAATTGAAATTTGTCTGGCAACTTCATTTGGAATACCCATTTCTTGTTGTATTCTTGTAATCATTTTGACTAGTAATAGACTGCTTCAGATCTAACCAGGACATGAAGAAACTTCATCCAAGCCACTGCTATTGCAGATCTGACCAGGACATGAAGAAACTTCACCCAAGACAGACGTTAACTATTGCAGACGACACATACATCATAGCTACTGTAGAAAGTCAAAATTGACTAACAACCTGTTCTAGTATCCATAGTTCTCAGTCATAAAATGAACTTGCAATAGTAGTTCAAAAATAACTTAAAACAGCAAAGTAAAATCTTACTCCTATAAAGAAAAGCATTTTGAAACTTATCAATTTTATTCCCAAAAGCTTAGTCATTGTGTCAAAGCGAAACTTACAGTTATATCAGAAACTTTGGGTCCTACGTATAATTCAATAATGTTGAATTACATTACAATCAACAACACATATGTTAACTTTCCATTCATAGCACTACATTCTTTTTTTTTTTTTTTTTTTTTTTTGTCGACGGAGTGGGTGTCCGGGTCAAGTCCGTAAAGGCGGCCCGACTAATCCCACTTCGGCCCGGCCAAGCGCCCCAACTCGACCTAGCACGTTAGATGCACGGAGAAGCCGATGTTGCTGCGGAGGTTCGACCCCAGGACCTGACTGTCCGGAGGAAGAGGCGCCAACCACCAGCCCATTCACGTGGGGGCTCATAGCACTACATTCACTAACCCAAATTCTGTATGTTCTCCTATGCAATATGAAGTTACAATATGACGTTGTCGAACCATTTACCAAATATGGAAAAAAGTCCCAATCATCCTCCAATTATTAGCCGGGTGGACTTTTGACCCTCCAATAATTAAAAGTAAACTTTTGACCCCTAATCTTAGCAATCTATCAAAAATACCAAACATTATTAGACTTTCTGTCAATTCCAGCAGTTAAGGATGATCGAAAACAACATCACGTGCACTCCACGAGGAATTGGTAGGGGCATTCTCATCCACCCACGAGAATTCATCCACTAAAAGGCAGCCAAAAAAAAAAAACCCGTAATTGAAGGAATATTTTACAGCCCCTTTTCTTTACTCCCGTGTCATCTTCAATAACAATCAAGAAGATTTCATCTTCCTCTGATGCTGCTGCTGTAAGCCAAAGGGAAGACTTCATCAGCAAAGGACCCTCTCTCTCTCTTTCAAAAACAAAAGGAAGGAAAAGGGGAAGCCAATATACAAAAGGAAAGAAATTAATTTTGCTGTTATAAGCCACAAGGAAGACTTCAGGTGTGTTTGATAAAATTGAAGTTTAAAAACTAAAATCTGAAAATCTGAAGCTCGAATTTATTAAATTATTGAATTGTTAAGTATTAAACCTAATACATTTGAATTAGGGCTGCAAACGAATCGAACCGCTCGTGAGCGGCTCGAGTCAAGCTCGAGTCGAGCTCGAGCCGGCTCGAGTCAAACTCGAGCTCAAAATATTAAACTCGTTAGCTCGCGAGCCGGCTCGCGAGCTTGGGTATATATATATATATATATATATATATATTATTATTTTTATTTAATAATAAAATTACGTATATTATATATATATTTTTTTTTTTTATTTTCATAGTAAAATTACGTATATATCCTTAATATTTTATTATTTATTAAGAAAAAAATATTATTTTATTTATTTTTTTAAAAATAAAATAATTATTTTTTATTTTTTTTCGAGCTCGAGCTCGAGCTCGAAATTTGCCGGCTCGTCGAGCTCAATCTTGGTAAAATTTAGTCGAGACTCGACTCGATTAGCTCAAAACTCGACTCGGTTCGGCTCGTTTTGCAGCCCTAATTTGAATACATATCACACGTAGTGTCTGTTTGATAACATAAAAAAGTACTGAAACTGAATTCATTCAGACATTCAGATGTTTTTGGTGTTTGATAAATAAAAATTTTTCTGCTGAACTTATTAAGTGGTGCTGAATTTGTATGTATTTTTTTTCAGCACAAGAATCGTAATTGAATGCTTAATTTGATAAGAATCAAGAGATTTACTTCAACTACTTTATCTTATCTACCAAATCTATTCTTGTTTGTTAATTACATTCAAAATCCTTATTTAATTAAACAACCTGACATTCTCTGTCTAATGGCTTTCTACTTCTATTTTCTCCCTATTTAATTACTTTTTTACAATTTCTCCATGCTCCTCACATCTGTTTACTCCTTATTTTTTTTCCATCTTTCTACTCTTTCATAATTTTGTCATTTTTTTCCTCCCAATTTTTTTATTGCTACCGTACTCACCGATCTCAAATTCATTATTTCCAAGGTAGATTATTTGTTGTTTTGCGCCAACATTTTTCCATTGAAGTAATTAAATTTCTATATAATTTGGTGTGAATTTAAAACTTGTTTATTGCAACTTCCTTTTGCTTATATTTGGATTTTTCTTATCAAACTCTGATTTAAAAATATATATTTGCACCGATATTTGGACTTTTCCATAACATATTTCTTCTTTTATATTACTTTGATTTAAACATAAATATTGTCATTTTCATGCCTAATAATTTTAAGCTAATTAAATCATAGGTTCTATTTTCTTTTTGGATTAAAAGATAGAAGGGCAAAATTGTACAATTTAGCTTATTAAGTATTAAGTTATAAATGTTTATCAAACAGTATAAATATGTTCAGCATTAAGATTCAGATATTCATATATCTCTTTTCAATGCTTAATATTCAGCAAATTAATTGTTTCAGTATTCAGAATTCAGATTCAGTTTTATCAAATGGAGCCGTAATAATAAGTGAATAGTTTATCACTTAATTTTGGGAGTAAGTTTTGTCTAAAAAATTCAGTACCACTTAATTAATTCAGATATTTAATTTTTTATTATCAAAAGCATATGAATATGTTAGGATCTGAATCCATTTAATTTTAGTGTTAAATTAAGTTATCAAATAGGGCCTTCATCTTCCTGCTAACCCCTCACTCTTTCTCTCTCTCAAATACACAAGGAAGAAAAAGGGGAAAGCAAAAATACAATAGGAAGGAATTTAATTGGGAAAGAAAGTCATGCCAAGTGGAAGAATCTTTAATTGGGAAGCATTCATAGTGCATGGAATCTGATCCAAAGAGGTCTATGGTAGAGAGTAGGGGATGGAAAGCATGTAAACATATGGAAGGACAGATGGGTAATGGGTTCTAAAATAGGAAAAGTGACTACAACATGCCCTCCAAATTGTCAGCTGCAGATGGTGAACCAGCTAATAAAAGAGGGAAGATGGAATAATGAAATCCTACAGCAAACTTTCAATCAAAAGGATAGAGAGCGAATATTCAGCATGCCTCTCAGCTTGTTCAAAAGACAAGACAAATTCTTCTAGAGTTTCTCAAAGTCTGGAGTCTACACAGTGAGGATAAGCCATGCAATTGCAGTGCAGGAAAGCAATAAAGACAAAAGAAAATAGAACCTGGAAGAGGAAACAAGCTGGGAAATTAGAAAGCATAGTATTTGGAAGAAACTCAGGAAATTGAGCTTAAAATACAAGTTGAAACACTTTTATCTGGAGGTGTTTACAAAATGGCTTAGCTGTTAAAGAAGCAATCCACAACTAGATAGGAAAAGGCGGCAACATATGCACAATTTGTGGAGAGGAAGTAGAAACAATGGAACACATGTTCTACCAATGCCCAATTGCCCAAATAGTATGGAAGTTAGCACCAGTAAGATGGGAAGGACTGAGAGATCTCCAAACTAACATGTGGAGATGGTGGGAGGCTGTAGCTCAGATAGGAACAAAGGAACAAGGAATGGAACAAATCAACCTGACAGCAAACATTTTATGATGGATATGGAAAGCAAGAAACAAGTCAGTGTTTGAACAGCAGAAAGGAGAAGCAAGAGACATTGTTCTGAAGACACAACAAGATTGGATTGAATTTGAATAGGTAACAGGACAGGAAACAATAGGGAAACAAGGAGAAGCAGCTCCAAACCAGACGGAACCGAGAAATGTAGCATCACAAGAAGGAACCAATGGATGCGGCTATAAATGCAAGGATGATTAGGATAGGGAAAGGAATAATTGCAAGGCATTGGACAGGAAAGATTATAAGAGCAAAAGGAGTAGTAGAAAGGAAGAGAAGAGAAGCTGTAATGGAAGAAACTTTAACCATTAGAATGGCACTCCAAATAGCAAGAGAAGCAGGTTGGAGAAAAATTGCAATCCTATTAGATTGCAAAACAGCCACTAACCAAATCAGGATCAACAATGTGTAGGATGGACATCTAGCAACCATCCTAGACGACATTGATGAATTAACACAAGGTTTTGAACAATGCATAGTTTCTTTTGTATCTAGAATAGCTAATGTAGTAAGTCATATGTTAACACATTTTGCAAAAAACTAGTTAACAACATAGAATGGGTAAATGATTTCTCAATTTGGTTAATAGAAATAGGTTGGAAGAATAAGAGGATGAATGCCCTTTTTTGTAATTAACTTTTGTACTGTCAAGTGTTAATATATAAACTAATATTGTCGTTTGCTGAAAAAAAAAGAAAGAATCTTTGGTTACTATCCTTAGATCGTTAGTTAGAGCCCATGTGTCTCGAATTTAGTTAGCGAGATGTATTCTCCCAAAACTCCATGTGTATTTGTAATCCTCCATGGCAAAAACTTTAGGTTCTCCTTGGAAATCCTCTCTCTATAAATTAAATAATACGACTATTTATTATTAAAAAATAGCAAAAATTGTAAGTGGGGTGAGCTCTTCGGAGGAGGAATTCAAAAAGGTATGCTGAGTCTTTGTATTCTTCTTCTTTGTGTGTGTGTGTGTGTGTGTGTGTGTGTGTGTGTTTTTTTCTGATTTACGTCAAATTGTGTATGGTTAATGAGATTGCATCGTATTGATCTATCTTGTACTGTCAGAGTTAGTTTA